TTTATGTGTTCATACGCAAACTTCTAATATTTTACACGAGGTCTTATTTTTCATGTAATTCGTAACAGGAATTTTTCTTCTTTTTGAAAAATATCAATCTGGGGATGAAATTTTGAAAAAAGTATAAAAAAAAAAAAAAAAGTATGATAACAAGTTTATTCCATGTTTTTCACTTGTTATAGTACAGTGTGAAACTATGAAGGGAGAAATGACTTACAGGAACCAAACAAATATCTTGTTAACGTTAGAAGACCAATGAGATTATTATCCCTTGATCAAAATCCAAAAGTGTCTTTAACATAAATTATTAATTTTTTATTTACATTAATTGATCAAAATTGCCATACTATAGTGTGAAGGGAGCAATGGCAGTAAGTTTCTCCACCACCGACAAGCTTAAATGCATTTCAAATATAATAACACTATTTATTGGGACAACTAAAGTAATCTCTTTGGTTATAGAAAAGGGTGAAATTATTTTGACTCAAATCTTTAACTTAAATTATTAAATTTTATTTACAAAAATTTGAGTGTTGAAATTCTGACACGGTTGCATCAAAAAAAATAAGTATCTCATTGACTTGTTTTTTAAATCCATTAAATTAGCTCTTAATTTACTACGAACAAAACAAATAACTTATTAAACGTTGGAAGACCAAAAAGATGGTAATCCCTTGACAGCCCTTGATCGAAAGCCAAAATTGTCTTTACCTTCATCCAAGGGCTAGAAAGGAAGGTAACACTTCTCCTGTGAGATAGCGAAACTCCTCCAACAAAAGCTGGTTAGTGGGACAAAGGGGCCAAATTAGAAAGCTAATTGCTTTCGCTTAGTGGGCTATCTTTTATTGACTAAACGAGAATGGCTGTGTTTGTGAAATTGGTGGCTATGATAATTGCCCATTATAAAGCGACTTTTGAACTTTTGTCTAATAATTAATTGACAGCTCAATTATTTCAATTTGACATTTTATAGTTTATACATTATCGACATTGCTTTTGTGCTGTTTTCCTAATTAACAAAGCCCTCTTATTTGCTATATTAAAGGGCAGAAGTAGCACTAAAAATCCCAACAGTGCGAAAAACATTGAAACAATTGAAAGTTTGATCATGGCATCAACCCATGAGCCTCTGCTGGACAAACCCAAAACCTCCAAAAGAAAATTTCTTCTGCTAATTTTCTCCATAGCTACTCTCATTTGCTTAACCACTCTATATACCACACATTCAGTCCACCTCAACTACTTAAATCCTCCTCCTCTGCACCAAATTTGTGCCAAAGCGCACGATCAGGCCTCATGCTTAGCTATGGTCTCAGAAATAGCCTCAACCACTGCCATGAAAATGAATGGTGTTGATCTTTTGGAGTTCTTCCTTAAAAAATCGACATTAAACATTAAAGATACTATCAAAATGGCAATTGATGTCAACCATCGGATCAACAAACCCAGAGAACAAGCGGGGTTGATTGATTGTGTGGAGTTGATGGAGTCATCCATTGACAGAATCACGGACTCTATCTCAGCTCTTAAAGCAAGAAAGTTTAATTCCGATGCAGATGCTCATGCATGGCTAAGTACCGTTCTCACCAACCATGTCACATGTTTGGATGGCCTTGAGGGTTCAGCTCGAACCTCCATGGAGCCAATGCTAAGTGACTTAACAACAAGAGCAAGAAACTCTTTAGCCATTTTTGTCAAAATTTCACCTTCAAATACCGAAGTTATCCACCCAATAAGCCAGAAATTTCCATCGTGGGTCACTGGAAGGGACCGGATGCTTTTACCGGCTCTTCCTAATGAAGTAAAAGCTAATGTTGTGGTGGCTAAGGATGGGAGTGGAAACTACAAGACTTTGACAGAGGCCGTGGCTGCAGCACCAGATAAAAGCAAGAGTAGGTATGTTATTCATGTGAAGGAAGGGACATACAAAGAAAACGTTGAGGTGGGAAAGAATAAAAAAAACATTATGATTGTTGGAGACGGAATGAATTTGACGATCATAACAGGTCGCCGCAATGTGGTTGACAATTATACAACCTTCAATTCGGCAACTGTTGGTAAATTAAACATTCCTTAATGCATTATTTTAATTTATTTATTTTTGGATACTTGTCTTCTTTAGTCATGACTAATTTACCATTTAATCGACAATGAAGCTGCCGTTGGGGATGGATTTATAGCCCAAGACATCTGGTTTCAAAACACAGCCGGGCCACAAAAACATCAAGCGGTGGCACTCCGTGTGGGTGCTGATCAATCTGTTATCAATCGTTGCCGTATTGATGCTTACCAAGATACTCTTTACGCCCATTCAAACCGCCAATTTTACAGGGATTGCTATATCACTGGCACCGTAGACTTCATATTCGGTAATGCAGCTGTTGTGCTCCAAAACTGTAAACTTGTACCAAGAAAGCCCATGAGTAATCAAGCCAACATGGTGACGGCCCAAGGACGGACTGACCCACACCAAACCACTGGGACTTCCATCCAAAAATGTGAAATTATCGCAAGCTCTGATCTTGAGCCCGTTAAGGGCTCGATCCACTCATATTTGGGCCGTCCATGGCATGCGTATTCAAGAACAGTTGTTATGCAGTCTTATATTGGTGACCTGATTGCTCCAGCTGGATGGTCAGAATGGGACGGAAGTAAATATTTGGACACATTGTACTATGGGGAATACTCCAACAGAGGACCGGGTGCTGGGACGAGCAAGAGAGTGAAATGGGCTGGTTATCATGTTATTACCAACCGAACGGAGGCCGAAAAATTTACAGTAGCGGAGCTGATTGGAGGAGGGGCATGGCTGAAATCTACTGGAGTTTCCTATACGGAGGGCCTGTGAAGTGTATCACAGTGTCACCTTCTGTTTGTTACTATTTAATATGAATAAAATCTTGAGTGTTGAACAAAATAATTCCTCTTATACTTTGTAATGCTTTAGGTTTATAATACAGTATATCTATTTAAAAGATGAGTAAAAGTTATCATAAGATAATGATGATTTTTATTATGCAAATATCTAATAGAATGAGTTTAACATAGAAGTACTTAAGACTGATAATATATCACAAAAGTGTTATGTTTCATATACAAAGTTAATGTCACTTACATTTCAGCACAATATTATATTCTAAAGTAAGGGTATGAAAAAAGATGTTTTCTGAGAGAAAATTATAATTTATTTGGTTAAAAAGTTTATACAACAGTATTTAAGTCTGTCCAGTATAATCTCTCCTTTTTTATTTCCAGAGATCATGCCTCCTGTATATATAATTTATAACATAATGTATAATTAATGTAAGATTTTCATCACAAGCCAAAACAATTTTTTAATCTACTTTTGTATAATTTGCTGGCATCGCATCGCATCGACATAATAGACAGATGTCTGAATTATCGTATTATAAAAATAATGTTTAGATTTTATTTTATTTTTTTATCTAAGTTTTGGATATTGGAGGTGACCAAACAATTTAAATAGAGAAATTCATATATGAAAGTTTATTTGGTATGAGATGAAATAAAATATATTAGACAATATAATATTAATTTTCACGCGGTTAAATAAGGATATTGATTATGTCATTCATTTTTATAGTAATTTATGACATTTTAAGACTGGAATAAATTATTCAACAATTAAAATAAAAATTCTCATATTATCTCCAATTGATATTTACAGTATTTTATCTTATTAATTTTGATTACAAGATCCTTTACATTAATCAACACTTAACAATAATACATAATCAATAATAATATGTATTATTAAAATATAACACAGCATTGACTTTCGTTAAATTGGAAATAGTTTGTGTTCATCTGTAGCATCATTAGGTTCTAATTAAAATAAAATAAAATAAATAAAAAAGCCAACTTGCATGATATGATTCTGTGGAATCCAAGTTTCAGTTGCTACAAGATCCATTTAGTAATAAACACATTTCTGTATCTGGTAACCCCAAAATTTGGAAAAATAATCTTTTGTTTCATTTCGAGAAACAGCTAAATGAACGTGCCTTCAACGACTAAAAATCACAGAGCATTTTAAAGAGATTTGCCAGAGAAGCATGGGAATTAGATTGGTGTATGATTTCGTCACAAAATTATATTAATAAAAACATTACATAAATTGTATTTCATGTTATATTAGAAATATTCAAAGAATTTGATTATTCATGTGGATGAGTTGGTAGCACGAAATATTGAACACAATGTCTGACATTTGTATATGAAGATTCATTCTGTTATTGAATCCATAAAACCAACCATTTGGGAAGTATTTATTAAATACAAATTGAATTAAATTATAATTACAAGTTGAGAAAATTATAATTAAATCAACCATTCTGTTATTTCATGAGATACTTTAAAAAAACTATTTTTCAATTGAATCCCAAAAATGTTTTATAATACAATTTTCCTTAATTTTTTGATCGAATAAAAAATTACATTGCGCATGTATTTAAATGTAACTTTATGTTAAAAAGTGGATTAATTAAATAAAAAAAATGCTTGTTTTATCTCTTTAATAGTGTTAAATTAAACAAGCTTAAACTATTAAATAATTAAAAAAATGGATATTTGTTCTCTCCTCTGATTTCTAGCCCGCATTCTAAGAGAGTGTTTTAATGTATATATATATTTATCTGGAAAGTAATGTGGCTTGGCCCTTAATAACACAGACATAAAAGAGAGATAAAGGCTCAACAATAAATAACCCACACCCAACCAACCACAACACCACTCCATTTGTTTTGTCTCGTTTCTTTAAACTCTCTTCTTCTTATCTGTCTAAGTTCAACCTTCTTTCCTTGTAATGGTTTCATGGCTCCCCACTTTCTTTCTCTTAAATCCATTTATCCTCTTAATATCTTCTTCTTTTTATTAAATCTTCACACCTAACACTCACTCTCACATTCTCACACCACCGCTTCTGTTTTCCCTTAATGGGTTTCCATTTCTTTTGAAGAAAGCTTTTGCATGTGAAGTCGTTTAGCGCATAGTTGAAGAAAAGGAGCCGCTTCACATCTTTCGTCTCTCTTCATTCTATCTGCCATTTTATCTTCAGGTATTTTATAAAATCATTAATATTTTCTTTTCTTTTTCTTTTTAATCTCAGTTTCAGTTAGATACCAATCTTCCTTCACGGGGTAAACAGTTTCTGATTCACGTGTAATTAGTCTTCTCTTCTATGTTACGCAGGAGCATTTGTCTTTTTGTATTAGTTGCTTTTGTGTCAACAATTGTTAAAAACAAAAGAAAGAAAAATCTATATCTCAAGTAAAGACAGCTGCTTTCTTTTCCTTTAACAGGCTGAACGATAATCTCAATCGATCTCTGCACGTTTCATAGCTGTTTCCTTCAATCTTTACCATGGGAACCAAAATGAAAGGCATATACAAAAGTTTCAAATACATTTCCCAAATCTTTGGTAAGTCTCTTTGTACATTAATTACTGTTTGTTGCTTAATTTGTCCTGGTTTGAAGCTAATAGATGTGTGTTGTTGTAGTTGTAAAGGAGCGAGAAATGGAAATTGGTTATCCAACAGATGTTAAACATGTGGCACACATAGGTTGGGACGGCCAATCTGGTACTGCACCCAGCTGGGTATGTAATGTAGTCCACATTTTTTGTGTTTATTTATGCAAAGATTTTAATTTGTGTGTTAACTTGTTCACATCTTAAACAATTGTTTTTCTGGGTGGGTTATTTAATTTATGCAGATGAATGACTTCAAGACAGCTCCTGATTTCTCAACATCAATTGGGAACTCAATGGACTCTAGTAATATGGCACTTTCCACATGGTCCTCCCAAGGCATGTCAATTTTTACTTTACCTTTTCTTTTCTCTACTTTTATTTATGCATATTACAATAACAGACTAGATAGAATAGGTTAGATAATGACAAGATTATGTTCAGAAATCTAAATTATACTCTCAATAAGTTATAACCATATGAAGTTTTCTAAGCAAGACAAATGCAATAGGGCTTCTTCACGAGTTAGACTATTGAGGGGAATTGTGTATTATTGTTATCATAATATTTGTTGAAGCTAATTTAGCAAGTAATGAAAAGTTGTAAGATTCTTTTCCCCCAAACGAGCAGAGTAGTTTGGCTGTTCTGTCACGGGATAACACTTTTATATAACAAGAGGGAATCTATGGACTTATAGCCTAAACTAAAGACATATTTGGGCGGTCCAAGCAAGAAAAGACATGCTTGGGAGAATGTGATTCGGATTCTTGTGACAGTACATCAATTGAAACTTCCTATATCAAATATTTTAACGAGGTTCTCAAGTAATAACCATGTGTTTCCTAAACACTCTTCCGCTAATAAGCTTCAACTCGTTCTCCTATGGCTTACTGTACTTTTCTGATGATATTATTGCAAACAGAACGAAAAGGTGTACAATCAAGGATCCAGAATATTATAAGTGATCAATACCAGGTTTCCCTAGTGACATTTTAATATATTGCATACCCTTCTACTGAGTGAGATTTATTTTGGTGGTGGAAATGATACTAGGGATCTCTGTCTCATCCTCCCATAATGCATCATTAGTTACAATTATGAACTTATAACGAATCTAAAACTCTTGCAGTACTTGGTTGGATTTTTAGTGATCATCCTTATGAAGTCTAGTCAAGAAAGAATTATGCTTGTAAACTTTTATCAATGTTCACTGGAAACACCACAGAAATGGTCTTATGATTTTTAATTATCATGGAAATACTCACAATAATATGCACATAATATCTGCAGTGCTAACAAGAAATACTCAAAGCCTTTTGTTTTCTTTCTAACAGATTTTGAACAATCAATGGGAGGACAACCGGCATCTGATATATTTAAAGACATTCCACCTACAGATCTTCCAAATATTCCCAAGAAACAGAAGCGGAAAAAGAAATCATCAACTTCCTCTCCCTTGTGTGGGTCCTCTAGATCTTCCCGAGCAGCAAAGTCTAGGACTACATATAATGAAATGGGGACAGCAAACGTGCAAGTATAGAATTTGTGTCTGATTGTTCGGTTCATTACAGACGTCTGGTAACTACTAATGTGCATAGCTAATACTGCAACTGTCCCCCTTTCATTAAATGAGATGGTTAGAAAGGCAAGAATGAAGAAGTTGGAAAATGAACAAAACTTTTGTGTAAATTTAAAGAAGAAAGGAAATTAGCTGGGGGACACGAACACGTTCAGGGAAGGGAAGAAAGGAATGATCATTGTTCAAGAATGGTACTAATTTAGATAGATCTGAATTTTTTTTTTTTTTTCGGTGGGGAGGAATTAATAAATATGTAGAGATGTGGATTGTGTGCTGGTGAGAAGTTTTGGGAATACAATTTTATTGGACTTGAAAAAAAAAAAAACGTTAGGTAATTTTAATGAACAGTGTGAATGATGACTGATTTAGATGTTTCATGACAGCCTCGAAAATTTATTGGAGTGCAAGAATGTGCAGTATATACGTTTCATTTGCAGTTTCAAATTCTTGAACATACTAGCATTTATATATTTCAGCCACTACTTGCTGGGTTGTCTTATGAAATTCTTGACCTTTTTTCTTCCTTTCAAATTTATTTTATTGTTATTTGCTGGGCTGCTTTTATCTTCTAACTAAACTGGTGCAAACACTGTTACAAAATTTAGAAATTAATATCTAAAGCTTCGTTTGGTTGGATTTTGGGAATACTACTTTTAGTATTCCCAAAAAAGTTAAATAGTAAAATACCCAAAAACTCACAATATTATTCAACTTTATTCAATATTTGTTAAACCTCATAAATTTGTTAATTCAATTAAATACCCCTGAATATTTTTAATGTTTTTGTTACGGTGACTCCGGCCACCCTCGGGCGGTGGTGGCCAGCTGTCCGTATTTGAGGGTGGATTGGGGGTGTTTTTGTTAACTTTTAATGTTTTATTATAAGGGGTGTTTTGTAAAAAAACAAACATAGAGGGTATTTTAAAATTTATAAATCCTACATCGTAATACCAGCCCAATTCAACATTTTTTTTAACTTTTTTCAAAAAACTTTTCCCAAAAACGCAAAATTGTGAACCAAACGGAGCCTAAGTTTTTCTTTTGCAAGAGAGATATCTATATGTATTGCCAATGTTTTGAAACCTGACCTGGGGTGCCACCCGGCCAAGGGGCCAGGTCTAGGGTTGACCGGTCCAACCTGTTAAATCAACAGTCTAACTTGTGATCCAAAAAGTTTGAAATCTTACAAAACACCCCTGAAAAATAAATTAGTTCCTATAAGTTTGAAATCTTGCAAACACAACCCTGCAACAGTTAAGGTTTTGATTTTTTTGGCCACATTCTAGCGGATTGTGGCGGCCAAAATTCAATCCAACACCACCACCTGAGCCACCGATTTCCACTCTACAAAACCCCTTTACCCCCGGCGCTTGGTACCCCCCCGGGTGGTTGTGGCTCGCGTAGTGGGTTGATTTTTTTAGCTAATTTCAACGTCCAAAATTCAATCCCACACCACCCCTTGAGGCTTGAACCATCGGCCTCTACTCTACAAAACCTCTCTAACTCCAGCATTTGATATCCCCTCGTTCGTCAGCGGTCAAATTAGGGATTTGATGCACAGTTGAAAATAGTAAACTGTACCGGAGAGGGTGCCAGTCATCGATCGGACCTGTTTGACCAGTCAGTTCGGTTCGGTTTTCAGAACATTATGTATTGCTTGAAACTACAGAATTCTAGGGGTTCCCTCTATAGTGAAACTGTTGCCTTTGCAACTTTCACTCGTGAAAATGATTCCATGATTCTTTGTTCTCCTTAACGTAAACTCTGTTGATCAAAATGGCTAAGTCTAAGCTCTGATTTGATGAGATTTCAGAAAATACCAAGGATGATGTTTGCTTAAAATGTCCATAATATTATTATGAGAAATGCTACTCTTACAAAGAGGAATACAAAGACAAATCATACCCTTAATCTTCATGATTGTCTCTCTCTCTCTCTTTCACTTCTTTTAAGGGTAGGATTTATCTTTGTATGTTTGTCTTTGTATTCCTCTTTGTAAGACTAACATTTCTCTATTATTATTATTATTATTATTATTATTATTATGTAGTAGCGTTATTTGAACCCTAATAAATCTCTTTTTAAGTCTCATATTAAATAAAAATCATTAAATTATATTATCTTCCAAAAAGACCCTTATCTTCTCCCTATCAAACCTTTAATTAAGTTTTAAATGATTCAGAAAATATAGCTTTAAATGATTCTAAATAATATCAAATCCCATCATTAACAAAATTTTGTCTAAAATGAGAATAAAAAATCACGATGGATAGAGAAAATATTGCAAAATCACAATTAATTAACCGATGTAAAGAAATTGGTTGTTTATACTAGGAGATAAAAAAGAAAGCTATGAGATTAAGGCATAATTTGATCTTTATATTTTATAGATTCTAACAAACCAAAAACTCACAAGATTCAATGGAATTTGTTTGGTTTAGGTAGAGATTTTTTTTTTTTTTTTTATTATGTCAAAATTTATTTGCATATGATGTTATTTAGAATTATAGATTTGCAGGTTAAGATAATTGAGGACGAAGATAAGGTTAATATTGGAATAAAGTGTGAGTTTAATTTTGTTTGATTAATTTAATTTAATATGGGGCTTAGAAAAGGTTTAGATGGGCTCAAACAACAACACTCTTTATTTAAAGGGGAGCTATTAACACCTTACTAATGGACTAAAGAAGGGGTTAATTGTCTCAGCCATCCTTGAAGTTTCAAAAAGTGAAACCGAAACCTAGATGCCAACTTTTGGGGGTATTGTCAAACCCACCCTCAAGGTTTTAAAAATTATAAAAATACCACCCCTCAGATTGAGACTGTTACTAAGTTTCGTGACTAACCATGGGAAAATTTGACTTTCATCCACTTTCCAAGAAAAGAACAAGCAAAAACCTGTAAAAATGAAAGCCCCTGCTTGTTTCATTCTTTTGATTCATTTTTCTATTATCCTATTTGGATTAAAAAGTAAAATATGTGTTTGTTTACTTATTGGAATCATTATTCTGAAAATTAGTCCGAATCAATTATTTTTTTTTTTTTGTGGGGGGGGGGGGGGGGGGGGGTGGCTCGTTCTGGTTTTCTATTATCCTATTCTAAACATTTTTCCAGCTCTATTAAATTAAAAATGATTACCTTTCACTCCTTCCAATCTGAAAAAATTATGCAGCTAAGACCACCATCGCCTGCCAACAACCACCACTGACATTGTTGTCGGTGGTCACTGGTGTCAAAATGATGCATGACCGATCGGATTTGACCGGTGCATCAATCTAGCCGTTTTCGGATGACAACTAGATTTTGGCCGTTAATGACGACCAAATTGCAACCGTAAATCTGGCCGAAAAAGGTCATATTGGTGCACGACTGATCAGATCCAACCAATCATGCACCATTTCGATGGCTGTCGTCTGACTGTGTTGGTCAACGATTGGCTGTCCCATTGGGTGGTGAGGTGTTTTTATTAATTTTTAAAGTTTCATTGTGGGGGGTGTTTAGCTGAATTTACAAATTAAGGGGCTAACAATGATATTTTTAAAAAATGTACTAAACAACTATTCACATTATATCCAACTCTGGTATAATTTTCTGATATTATACAAAACAGAATCATATCCTATTCGATTTAATCCAACTCAACTTAAAATAGTTTTTCAAAATAACATTTTTCAAATAATATACCAAATAGGCAAAGTTTCAAAAAAATAAATAAATAAATAAAAAATAAAAACTCACTCTCACCCAACACTCTACTACTGCAGGGGGAAAAAACAACTGGCGACACAACCTCCCCCCAATCTGAACGCACCCCACTGTTGCACCTCCCAACTCCAAAACCCCTCTCTCTCTCTCTCTCTCTCTTCCACAAAACCCCCCCCCGGGGGCCAAGGAAAAAAAAAAAAAAAAAAAAAAAAAAAAAAAAAAAACTGTTATGGATTACATATTAGAAAAGAAACTAACAAAATTATCACCACCATTAACTGTAATCCACTGCACCACAATGGTAAACTCAAGGCCATTGAAATCTCCATATAGCCACAAAAAACCCTTTAGCCAACCACCAAAACTCCCACCGATATCTAAGACAACCATTGAAAATCTCCCTACTATGCCATTGTAAATTTCTCAAGCATGGTGGTGTGAAGGGTGGAGTTCAGCGCCGTTGCAAGGGATAGCCGGGGGGATGTAGGTAAGTTGGCCCACACTCAAATTTTAAAAAATTTAATATGTAATTTTTTCTTTTTGTGACAATTTCGACTAGAAAAACAGAATAAATGTTATATGCAATTAGTTTTTATTTAGTCTATCCTAACATGAATTTTTGGATCCATACTAAGGGATAGTATGTGGGTGGTGTTGCAACTGCCCCCCCACCCCACTGCGTCGTCGAATCACCATCCACCTTGTCGAGCAGCCTATTTCGTTGAACCACTACCCTATTAGAAGGAAGGCAATGGCCATTCTTTTGACGGTCATTTTCTTCACCCATTCTTTATCAAGCCAAATCGAAGATGTATTTCTTTGGTGACATTGCTGTATTTTGGTGTAGCGAAGTAGGAGTTTTTTTATTGTTGATGGTTTTCGATTGTTGTGACCTGTGATGGGTTAAGATCTCCCGAATTCTTTTTTCAGAAAAAAAAAAAAAAAAAAAAAAAAGCAAAGGAGTTTGACTCGCCAAGGATGACTTGGATTGCGAGTGTGGGGCTACAAGATGGGAGGCTGTAGTTGGAATGGGGATGAAAGAAAAAGAAAAAAAACTAGTTTTAATTTTTTTTAATTTGGAAAAAGATAAGGCTACAAGGATAAATGTCATTTTATACTGTTTTATAACAAAAATTGTAATGGAAGTTGACAGAAGGTAGAGATGGCAACGGGTCGGCCCGGGCTGGGACTGGGTTGTAATAACCGCTTTCTACTCATATACTCATAAAAGATACATAATGAAAACACATGGAAAA